GATTAACACAAACTGACCAGAAAGAGGTTCAAAATGAGCACAAACAGATGCAAAGGAACTGTAAAAACTAGATAAATAAAATAACTATAAAAGCGGACAAAACAACCATGCTCCTAGGTGCTGGGGCCCTTTGCATATTTATACCCAGGACCCACTGTCTCATGTCCCTACTAAGTATATAAAGATGGAGCTGCATGTTAAACATTGTGAAAACCAGCCTAAAGTGCCATGTTCAAACCAAGCAGCAGCTTCCAGGGCTGAAAAATGAAGCCAAAGCAGAGGTGCCAAAAACTGCAGTTCCTCTAACGTCCACTTGAGGCTGGCTCCAAGAGTGAGTCAGTCCCTATAGACCCCCATGTTAAAACTGTACAGCAGAAGTAAACGTGTTTACAGCCTGGTCCAAAAACAGTTTTGTTCTCTGTAGCTAATTTCAACGTTCATGACACTCAAGAGCCCCAAGCTCTCACCCAAACATGGTCATGTCTGGCTCTAAAAAACCAAGATGGCGACCCCAATGCCAAATTAAAGGCATCAAAACAGAAGTCAGTGAAGTGATGTGTAACTCTGAGGATCTACTGTTTAAGATCCATGCTCTATGGAATGCCATGTAAATAAATAAATATGGATATCAAATAAATCCTGAAATAAATAAATTGGCAAAAAATATTTAAATGAGTCATAGTCCAATAAACAGACTTTTTTAAAAGACGTTTTTCTTTTTTTTAACATAATTCCACGTTTATTTTTGTTAAGAATTTTTTTTTAAATATCTGTTGAACTATGCTGACTATTTATTTATATTTGCATTTTTATATATATTTATTTAATGTCCCTTACAGTCACTCTGATGTGAAAATTAATTGTTCTCCATTAACGGTTACTCTCTTCATGTTTTCCAAGTGTCAGATTCTGTTGATGTGAATAAACATGACACAAAATACAAAAGAAGAGAAGAAGAAAGTTTTAGGAAAAACATTTATTGAACATGATAACGTCACCACAGCACAGCAGAGAGGACGGTTCAGGTTTAGCACCTCGGTGGTTTCACATTTCACACCAGTTAACATGTAACGTGCGTTGACTCTTGTAACTTAAAGACAACACACACACACACACACACACACACACACACACACACACACAGTATGTGAACACCACCGTTCAGTAGGGTGTGACATTAACTAAAATACACACGTCCTGTTGGCACGCCGAACATCATGTGTAAAAACAGCAGTTTAATGAGTCACCATCACGACCACACACAAAATATTAATCTCTATGATCTTCTAATAAACATCTGACTCACAGGTTTATTTACTGCAGATCAGCTGTGCGTTAGTCAGTCACGCTACAGCAGGAAATGGCACTTCACAATAAAATAAATAAAAGCTCTGTGCCCAAAATTCACTGTGAAATAAAGTGTGTTTTTTTACAAGCTTGACACGTTAGCGAGACACTCAGAGTGGACCTGTGACCTCCAGCTGGGAACCACTGGATTAAAATACCTCTTATGGTGCGGAGAAGCTGCTGGAAACTGTGGACAGATGACAGCCAGCTCATGTACTGCGTCACGTCACAAACACTGATACGATAAATATGAAACGTACAAATAGAACATTTTAATGGTTTGCAGAAATGTACAGCGGCGACATTTTGTGTGGCGACCGAGCCGTTCCCTCGCCGGCAGCAGGCACTGATATGATGAAGGAAATTAACAAGTTTCAAAATGTAAAAAATGAACCACTGAGAGTGTTTCTATGAAAACAAAATAATATTTAACAAAACTTTTACATCTATTTGAAATGTATTCGAGCCGCAAAAAAAAAGGCATTTCAAAAAATTACAAAACAAACGATCAGAAACTAAACTGGTCCCTCTGTGACAACGTCTCTCCGTCATCTCATCACAGTCAACTTTAATATTTGCTGCTCGCTGCAGTTATACAAGAGATTTTTAGCTTGAAGCTGAAGAAGCATTCAGTATTTCAGACGTTTCAGCGTTTCACTGATTCCATATTTAAACAAGACTCATCAGAGAAGTGATGAGTGTCAGAAACTTGTGTTGAACAGAGATTCTTTTTATAAACAATCTAAAACTACATTCAGAAGCGCGTCACTAACTTCCTGGTTAATGTACAAAACCCCTTTTCTGTCATCGCTGTGCACTCAGACATGTTTGTGACTCTGTTACACACGACGCTTCGACCTCTGCAAACAAACAGACATGCAGAAAATCGAAGCAGTTTGACACTTGATGGCGTTTGGTTCAGAGCGAAAAACAAAGTTTGGCATTCACTGGTCGTCATCAGAGAGGAGTGTGTGCAGAGAGCACACTGCTGACGAGTGTGTTTCATGATCCAGAAAATAAAAACAAGATTAATAAGGGCGCTCACTAGCTCGCTGCAGAGAGCAGACACCCTGTGTACGAAGGCTGTGTCCTCGCCAACGATTCCCCCTTCCTAGCCAGAGGCGGCACTAACTGAGGCATCTCAAATGCCGCCGCACACAATTGGATAGCACGATGGCCAATCAGAGCAAAAACAAGGTGACGTATTCATTGCACTAAGCCCCATTTGTTTGCCAACCAGTGGGGCTAACTGATATATTATGCTTTTGACGTATCCTGTCGGCAAAAACGTCCTTCCTGGAAGAGAAGGCGTCTAGTGCAGTCTTCCGTTCCTCTCTCAAGGAAAAAGATAAGTGTAGTTGGCTTAGCGTTTATTCCAAAGCTAAATTGAATGGACGCGGTCCTTCAGCAGCTGCCATCTTGGCTGTTTACTTTTCGATTCCTACGGCGCAGCACTGTCCTCATCATATGACGCCTGCCCAGAGCCCGCCTCTGTCCGATAGACTGACCTGATTGGTCCGATGGTGATTCAGCGGGCTCTGCTCGTCGGGGACAGATCCCCGTACAGTGCAAATTCGAATTTGCTAGGGGCGGGGCATCTGGATTTCCAGGTTAGTGTGGACTGCCCCTAATTTGTAATCCTAGGTATTCTTCTTCTTCTTCTTCTTCTTCTTCTTCTGAGGAAATCATACTTCCCATGGCTGAAAACTCACCAAACTTTGCACAAAGGTCCAGTCTCATGCCAGATATCCTCAGCTGTAAACTCAAGCCAATAGTCCTGATGGTGGCGCTACAGCAAGCGTCTTAAGTTCAAAACTTTGAAAATTCATAACAAATCAACCATACGTGCTACAACTTCACAACTTTCATCAAACTGTAGCCCCAATACTGAAGAAACTGTTAAATTTCTTAAACCTATCTCCTCCCACAATTTTTGCTCAGTTGACACCAAACTTGCTACAGAGCATCTTCAGACTGTCCTACACAAACTGTGTTTCTCAGATTTTTGATTTATCAAAAATTGAGCCTACAGTGCATCAAAATGTTTGACTGTAAACGGTACTGTGTATGTACATATACATGCAAATTCTTGCTAAATAAATCTTCAATGTTCATGAAAAAAATGAAAAAATTCTAGAGTCATGGTAGATGATGTGTGGCAAATTTCAGAATTTTATCTCAAAAACTGAATTTTTGACAGCATTTTGAATTTTGCTCTAATGTGAACAATTGGAGTCAATGTAAAAATGGCAATTTTAAACATCAGTTTTTCACTTATGGAGCAAATCAGTCATTGTTACAAACAAATTACCAACATCTCCATGCTGTCTAGATGCAATATGTGTATTTTCAGATTTTTGTCTTAATAACTGAATTTTTTACAGTGGTTTCAAATCTGCCTTTCCATGCACGGACGGCTGCTTTCCTACACAACAGTGAATGGCTTACTCAATTTGTGAAGCCACTGTTGAGTTGCTACTTGCCTATTAGTTCAGAGCGGTAGATGACCGTCTTAGGTTCCAGAGGTTGCTCAGAATTGCCTAAAAATGCCCGGACCCGACCCACTGCTGCGCTGCAGCTATAATTAAACTTGATTTCTAACCTAAGAGCCGATCTCCAGAGATGTGACTCCACAGGAAGGATCTTTTTGACCACTGTCTTTACAATGACGGGACTGTGGGTCGTTTGAGACACAGCAACAGAGTTCTCTTACATCCGTGGTGAGGAGAGGAGTCGAGCTGCTATAGGAGCAGAGAAGAAGAGCAGCAGAGAATGAGTGGGGCGAATAATGCATGTAATTAGGGGGGCGGTGAGGTTGGAAATAGGACATTGATGTTAAGTGCCGTGGGGTGGCGTGTCCAGGAGCGCCAACGTGCTCTGCTGTCTTGAAAATAAGGGCAGTGTTTTTTGACGCACGCGATTTGCCTGCGGTGTGTTTTGGCCTTAAAGGGATAGTGCACCCAAAAATAAAAATTCAGCCATTATCTACTCACCCATATGCCGAGGGAGGCTCAGGTGAAGTTTTAGAGTCCTCACATCACTTGTGGAGATCCAAGGGGAGAGGAGGTAGCAACACAACTGCACACGAGACCAGCGAAAGCACATGAACACACATGAAGGCGGTGCCCATGTCTCACGGTCTTGCGCAAGCGCACACACGTGAGCGCGGTGCACAGAGAGTTCAAATGAGGTTTTTCCAAACAACTTTTTATGTCGGGGCTTCAGGACACTTGGATCACTACGGACGAGCAGTATGGAGATATTTTGTGGTTTCAATTATGTGTTTTTGGACGTTTGAATCTGGGGTGCCGTCATTTCATTTTTGGGTGCACTATCCCTTTAACAAAAGCAGAAATGCCGGAAAAATAATTTTTGAAAAAAAGAATAAACAACAATAAAAAAGACAAGATTAATAAATGTGTACAACAATTTGTGAGAAAATTATGTTTACACGAACAGATGCGACTCCTGACTGGCCTCAGGCGACACCATGAGATCGTTCAACACCATATTTGTTTGTGAACCCACAATTCACTCTCACTTCGTCTCGTTTGTCGGATCATGAAACACACTCGTCAGCTCCTCTCCGCTGGGAGTGTATGTGGTGATTTAAAGCACGATGTGGAGGACTCAAGGTGGTGTTTTTGTTTTACCGCACACTCTGAGACATGTGCAGAGGAGTCAGCATCTCCTCGAAGATGGCGCCCTTCACGTTGGAGCCTCTCAGGTTCGCCTCCTGAAGGTCACATCCTGACAGGTCACAGTTCTGGTACAAACATACAACACCTGAATGTATCATGGATTTACAGTTTGTCTCACAGTTGCAGGTTGAGTGTGCGTGTGTGTAGGTGTGTGTGCTCACCTCCAGGTCGGTCCCCGCCAGCGTCGCTCCTCTCAGGTTGCAGTTCTTCAGTTTGGCATTTTTCAGCGTGGCGACCCTCAGGTTGATCCCCGTCATCTGGCTCCCCTCCATGTCCACACCCTTCAGGTTGGCTCCTGCACACACACACACACACACACACATACACACATACACACGTATGAGTTCAGTACACACCTCACCTGCTCAGGTGTGTGTGAGGAGCACGTGTGATTGGCTGCTTCACCCTCCAGGTTGGCTTTGATTCCTGCAGGATCTTCAAAGTTACAGCCTCTCAGTGACGCTCCCTCAGCGTTGGTGCACAGCATCTTCACACCCTGAAGGTTGGCTGCCTGGGACACACACACACACACACACACACACACACACCATGAACATGTGTCTATCAAGTGAACTTCCTCAGTAAAAGCTGAATGAATGTGTCTCCGTCATGTGACAGGATCAAAACCAGACTGACGACTGCAGTGAATATTGACTGACATGAACGTGTTATTTTGGCAGCCTTAATTTTAATGTAACACCTGCTGCAAACAGCTAACAGCTAACAGCTCTCAGCTAACCAGCTCTGCTCCTGCTGATGTCAACACAGATCTGCTGTTCACATCATCAGGGAAACAACAAGGTGCGTCCTCTGACACAACATGGTGAGTTTACTGCGTTCTTTCATCTCAAAAGGCTTCACAGGAAAGATCTCTGTGTCCCAAACACCCTTGTCCCGGGACGAAGGGACGCCGGCTGCTACAATCCAGCTCATCACACAGCAGTGAGATCACAGTCCTGTTTTGTTGTGAAAATGTGGGCGTGCAGCCTCGTTCTGTGGACGATAAACCAGGTGCAGACTTCCATCTGTGTCACCGCTGATGAGGAAATACAGCGAGTGCTGGACGGAGCAGTGAGTGACAACAACCCCGCCCACATTTAAGAGGACTCGTTTAACACTGGACGTGTCTGACTGTGGAAGAAGAAGACAGCACTCACATCGAGACAGGCCATGGACAGGTCTGCTCTCTCCAGGTTGGCCCCGCTCAGGTTGGCGTGGGTCAGGTTGGCTCCTCTCAGGTTAGCCATCTTGAAGTTGATGTAGCGCAGATCCAGACGAGACAGATCTGCCCCGGTGAAGTTCAGACCCTGATGGACCACAGACACACAGAGCATCAGAGGGACTGTGTTCATGTCTACAGTGTACGAATGTGTGTGCGTCTCCGTCTACCTGACACCGCAGCTCTGACTTGGTCGTCGTCGCCAGCAGGTACCTGATGAACTCCTTGCGGCTCAGAGGCGAGTGGTCATCAGGAGGCTGAGAGGACTGAAGAGCAGACACACATGTGGAGGTCACACCACTGAACACACACTTCACTCTACTACATGTCTGCTGTACACACCTTTATGAGCGTCTCCAGCTGCTCGGCCAGCTGTTCGATACCAAAGAATCGAGCCTCTTCCAGAACACCTGCAGCGGAGACACTGACGATCAGGAAGTCCTGTCACCTACATGTGTTAACATATGTGTGTGCGTGTGTGTGTGTGTTGTACCCAGAGGGTTGATGCCTTCGTTGATGATGAGCTGTCCGTGTCTCAGATAATTCAGGATGGGTTCAAAGTAGTCCGGACTGCGGTCTATCAGGTACGCCCCCTGAGAGTCCTGCTTGTTCCCCCACACTTCTGCATGCAGTCACATCAGACATTGTATAACAGGAAGTCAGATAAAGACGTCAAACATTTGTGTTTAAAATAAAACGTGACGTCACCTTTGTCTCTGAACATGTGGGCCAACATGCTCTCCGGCTCCTTGCTGACCAGCGTGCTCCTGGAGAACACACAGAAACAGTTCACACTGAATCTACACAGTTCTGTGAGGCAGCTGAGCTCCAATCACACACTGACGCACAGTGTGTCTGCAGGTTGTTGTTCAAACTATAAACATGTCTACACCTTTCAAACAAACATGTAAAACTGAATAAATAAATGAAATATTGCAAGACAAAAAAATCGATAAACAAACAGTACAAAACAACAAAATAAACACCAGGGACAATATTAATAATAACAATATTTTTTTTTTATGATATTTTTTGGGCGTTTTAGCCTTTAATTAACAGGGCAGCTTAAGCGTGAAAGGGGGGTCTTCATCTCCACACATCCCGACTAAGGTCTCTGTTTTAAGGGGTTCCAAAACACCCAAGCAGCGTTGACTCTAAAAGGACACCTGCTCACTCACAGGCCTCGATGTCTCAATCCTGGCGGTCATATTTACCTGGTGGTGGTGAAGCAGCGTCCACCGACGTTGAGCGTCAGCCAATCAGTGTGAGTCTGATCCTTCTCAGGGCCTGGGAGGTCGTCCTGAGGGTCTGAGCACAGGTGAAGGTGAATGGATGACATGTTTCTAGTCTTTTGATCATTACGTGTCACACACACACACACACACACAGTGGTGGAACAGCCATCAGGAGCAATTTGGGGTTCAGTGTCTCGCCCAAGGAAACTTGGACATGTGGACCGGAGGAGCCGGGGATCGAGCAGCCGATCTCTGAGCCACAGCCAACAGGATTTCGTCAACTAAAACATTTTGAATTTTCCTCCACTAAAACTATGAAGGATAAAAATGACTAAAATGTGACTAAAATAAGCATCTTTGTCATCTTTGAGTCAGTGAAAATGACCACTGATCTGAACTTAGTTTCTTCTCCTTCTCAGTATATAAACACCTGTTTCTCTGCCTCAGACTTACCTTCAATTGAATCTCCCTCTGATACGTAGAGCACGTCATCATCTCTGCAGACACACATACACACAGCATGTTGTGACGCTCAGTAAGAAACTGTTTGTTATTGTATTATTTTACTGGTGATGTTTGTTTCAAAACACATGTTTAATATTTAAAAAATTAGACAAATTTACACCATTTATCAGTCAAAAACTGTAAAAACAGAAAGTATTGTTGGATTTTTAAATTTCTGACAGTCCTTGGACACATCACATGTGACGAACGCTTCCATCAGGAAAAAAAAACAGCACTACCAAATCTGAGTTTAAATTAGTGATATTTAATCAAATTGAAAAAAGGGGCTTTTTTAAACTCCAGGATTTTCAACTTTTAACTTTCAGACATCAAAAGGTCAGTTTTAAAAATCTAATCAGTAAAAACACAAATATAGAGCCCTAAACTTCAGAAAAGAGCTCTGAGAACGACACAGCAAGCTGCTTATCATGAATCTACTAATCAACTAACCCCTAACCCTAACCCTAACCCTAGCCCAACTAACCCTAACCCTAACCCATGCAGGGCAGGAAAGCGTCCACAGAAACAAAATAAGACATGCTGTTAATTTTCAAAATAAAATACACAGTGTTCACGGCGGATCATATTTCCCTGCACTACACCTTGAAAACGTCATAATGGGCGGAGGCAGGCCTGAAGTCAACAGGTTTCCAGACATTATTTCACCCCGTTGACACCATGGACGAGGAGATGTTAATCATGGAGGTGCACCCAGATGTCTTCCTACTACTCCTCTGGTTTTGTGGTTCTGTTTATAGAAACTACATCTTGTTATATCGCGCGATTATGCGTGAATTCATGAGATCTCGTGGGTCCTCGTGACTCCCGCTGTCTGGTGGAGCTGCACCGCTCCGCACAGCAAATGCAGCTGGTGGGTGTTGACGGACGGCAGAGCACGCAGCGGATAACCAGCACTGCTGTTCTGTAACGAACACGCACCCAGTGGAATTCCGGCATAAGGCTGTGGCCAAAATCACCCAGGCGGCCCACCTTTGTCTTAGATAGGCAGGAAAAACCCTGCATTTACAAAACTAATGATGACGACATCTGTTTTGACTTTGATGTTATTTCACTGAAAGATGCTGTGAGCACAACCCAGCATGATGATGATGACGTATCTGCAATTTTTACACTTAGCAAATTTATCATGTGGCCAGACTGGACCCTTTGGTGGGCCGTATGTTTGACACCTCTGGTTTACAGCATGCCTTACCTTAAAATGTCCAGACACTGTGTACTGTAAGACACTGAAGATACTGTTTTGAGTTGTCAACAAAAACCTTCCTGTCTGAATTTTAAAAAATGTGTGTGAACTAATCTTTGTTTCTTCAAACGTCTGTGACTGAAATAAAATTAGTGAGGATCCCACAGGCCTACAGAGGCCCCAGTGTCCTCTGATCCTGTGACCGCCCCTGTTTCAGGATCACTGTGAGGCACTCGATGATGATGATGATGATGGTGATGGTGATGATGATGGTGATGATGATGGTGATGATGCTGATGGCTGAGCTCTCACCTGATTAACGTGATGTCATCTATGAGGCCGCCGTTCCCGTTATAAACACTAGAGGCTCTTATTCCCAGTTTGGAGCTGGCCGCAGACAGCAGGTCCTCCAGGGACCCGTACACGGCCACCACCTGTGTGACGACACCGACACACAGCACACCTCAGCTCCCGTTAACGGCACCGGAAACATGAACATGTCAGACTTCAGCTTTTAGCGCAAACAGCTAACGTCGGCTAACATAGCCGTTTGTGTTTTGTTAGCACGATGCTAACTAACGCTGCTGTTTCCCGGGTTAACGTGTCCCGGCTTACCTTTCCGTTAGAGGAGGTTCCGTTAACGAACAGAGTGACTCTTCTCATGGCGGAAAAATCAACTCAAACTGTCCGCAGCTCCGAGTTTCATCCATTAACACACATTCTTTGGTTTACAACCTACTTCCTGTTTCTTTTCCGCTCTAGCCCTGGGAAGCGGAATCAACCAATCAGCGACTCAGATCGAGAAGCAACAGCCAATCAGTTAGCCGAGTGGGCGGGATCTCCATATCTCCGCACAGGATCAGTCGATTTAATATTTTTTCATTTTTATTTTTATTTTCACGAAATACATTTAATCAACGACTGAAATTAATTTATAAGTACTTTTACTTAAGTGTTTTTATTTTAAGCAATTTTATACTTAAACTACATTGAGTAAGTGTGGACTTCCTGTTGTTTCAGACATGTAAATATTTATTATGTATTATTTTATTCATTAGAATTTATTTGAATTTGAATGTTGAAAGTTGTTTTTTTTAATTTCGTTTCGTTTTTTGTTTTCATTTTTTTTTATTTTGTTATTCTTGTTTTTTACAAGTTCAAAATAAATTGAAAAACAAAAACATGAAAAATTGTACTTTTTACTGCCCTACATTTATCTGATAACTTAAGTTGCTTTGCAGATTTAAAGAAATAATAGAAAACATAATCAAACAATATAATTTATTATTTTTGGTTAAAATAAAACTTTATTGATCCACAGCCGTATACAGTGTCATTAAAATGAGCTCCTCCTTCAGCAGCTGCAACATTAAAATAATATAAGCACATTAATGCATCAATAACTATAACCCTATATCAAAATATGTATTATTCTGAAACACTGTTTCTCTGCCCTGTGGTATCTCTGCTTTTACTTTACTAAAATATCTGATTTTAAAATATTGCATAGAGTTCACTTCATCATCAAAAATAAGCTCTGTAAAACGTATTCAAATATCAGTGCAGCGTGTGACTGCTGCGGGCCGTCACCAGCCTCACAAGCCCAAATGTTCTGGCGCTGTCCGAGAGTCACAACATGCTGGGATGAAACATTTCAGTCATGCTGAGACGTCCTGAGTCTACCTGTGGATCCTGACCCACTGAGCGCCGTCCTGATCTTGTGTGAACCAGCTCCCAACATATATGGTGTTATATGTCACCCTACTTACACATACTGTAGAGTGATGTTATTAAATTGGGAGCAAACACAGACGCCTGGCCGCTCTGCCCTCGTGAAGGATGTGACGCAGCACCTGCATTTGGAAAAGTGAAAACAAACTCTACCAGATCTGGCAACCCATTATAGCCCACCTCAAGAAAGATGCTCTTCCCCCAACTAAAAAAAAATGACACACTTGTTTTACAAACGTTTATTTAACAAATCACCGAGACATAAAATAAAAGCTAATTTTACAAAGTGACGGCAGGGAAAATGTGCAATTAAAATCCCAGAGCATGTTCATTTGGCAAAAGCAGAGGACATAATTCTCAAAGAAAACAAACACTTTATAAAAGGATTCCTCAGCCTTTTCAAGACCAGGAACTCCTGTTTTAACCCCAACAATAAAAGAGTTATATTTTTTTATACTTTATGTTAAACAGCATGAAGCGCTTCAAACCCATAATAAATCTCAACCTTTTATTCTTTGTGGAAACATTCCCAAAATCTCTGCACAGCAACAGGAAGTGCAAACAATCACCCAGTAACCTCAACAGACCCGTGCAACACGACCATGAGATGCTTTGATGGGTTTCAGTCCCCTGTCAGTACTGGGAGCTGTGGGAGCATTTTACATTCCACTGGCTGCGTCTCTACAGCATCCAATACCTCAGCCTGCAGGCAACTATGATTCAGCAGGTCATTAAACATACTGTCACACTGTGAACTGCGTGTGAGCGTTAAGTTCATTTAATCAGCTGCATTAAGTATAAGAGGGGTCAAAGTTCAAAGTGCAGCAGGTCGCCTGATTGTGTTTGCAGCAGCAGCAGCAGCAGCAGCCTTTATTCAAACAGGACAAAACTCAATACGTTTAGAGGCCACGCAAGGATTCAAATAAGTTAGTAGGGAAACAGTCAGCGGCAGATTTCTACACATTAGATCAGAATAAAATCTGAACTGTGAGCGTGACCTGGTGTTACAGAGCAGCATGTGGCAGAGAGGTGATGTCATGAAGCTGTTAATGTGGAAAAGTGCTTCAAATAAGGCACAGAAGAGGAAGACATCAGTGTGCACTCAGTACGTTTCCAGTCACAGTGAAGTGGAGCTACAGTCCCAGCTGGACGAGGACATCTAACTGGCCTACTGTCCTTGTCCCAGTATACCAGCACGGGAGAGGAATCCATTTATTGAGCCAAGTATGTGCAACTCCTCTACGATAGGTGGAGATATGCCCCCTTTCAGCTTGTTAGTATTGGACCTTTTTCCTGTTGACCTATTACGTCACAGACCAAACAATGGACAAACAAGTTAGCTACGGTTAGCTAGCAGCTAACTGCTACCATGGTGGACAACTTTACAGCTCTGTACATTTGGTCAGTCCAAAAAGTCACGGCTCTGGATGTAGATTTCTCCATGTTGTTACCGGCTTCTTCTTCTCTTACACATTTAATGCTAATCGAGAAACTGTGAAGCATGCTCAGAGCACCTTGGCCACTTTGGGTCTGACTGACTGTATACATGCAGGAGTCACATGATCTGGGTGTGTTAGTCCCACTGTGACAAATTCACTTTAGGACCATTTCAGTTGGACTGAGGGGCTGTGCACATGCAGCAGCGCACACCGCACGTCACGTAACAAGGACCAACCAATCACAGCTGACAGATATCTTTCCCTTCATCCGCACATACCCAGAGCTTTGCATCTGTCCCACAGACGATAGGCCTACACACTTATAAACAGCTCCTGGAAGATGATCAGCTCTGCACTCAGGGTTTCAGGTAACTAGGCTAAGATATGGTGCTGGCTAAGGCTGCTTCGCAACCTCAGACGCAACCTGCCGCTGCGCTCTTGGAAGCTGGCACAGAAAAAAAAGGTGCCTCGTGTTTTCCAGACGCAGCATGTGAACGGCCTCCAACATGTTTTCATGAATTTTAAAGTCCAGTTTTAGTCGGACGGACACAATAAATCGATTTCCTCTGATGTCATGGAAACGTACTGAGTGTGTTAAGGCTCTTTAAGTGAGAATGATGTGTAGTAATGAGCACAGCGTCCATCTACTTGACAGTTCATATCAGACTCGTGTGTTTACATGCACCTGTCAGGTTACTAAATCTGTCTACGTGCAGCAGATCAGTGTTCAGATTCTGACTTTTGTTCTGTAAGAATGACTCATTTCAATTAGGAGAAAGCGTCAACTGGTTGCTCTGTATACTCAACCATACAAAAAAATAGGATGAACAGGAAGGCAATCAAGGCACTCCAAAATATAGAAAAATATTTTAAAAATACCTCAACCCCAAATAATAATTTGTACATAAATTACTCAGGGGGGTGGAGCCTATCCCAGCTGACACTGGGTGAGAGGCAGGGTTCACCCTGGACAGGTCACCAGACTATCACAGGACTGACACATAGAGACAGACAACCATTCACACTCACACCTACGGACAATTTAGAGTCACCAATTAACCTGCATGTCAACTGGTTCATATGTTTCAGAAGGCCTGGGTTTCCTTCCTGTTTACTTATTTAACTGTTTATGTGACACAAAACGCTGCTTTATATGAACGCATCTGTGGAGTTACCAAACAGAAGTTCAGAGGTGGAAACGACTACTTTAGACTTCTCTTGTTAGTTTCAGTTTGACTTTGGGTGGAAGTTACTTTGAATATGAGGATGTGTCTCTGCATGTGATTTTAATCACCTTTCCTTTTATTCAGTCGCCCTGCAGTCCCTCTGTCCCTGCACATCAGCTTTCTCTGATTCCCCAATTACACCATGCTTCTTGTTTGCTGTTTAAGGAACAGATAACTGCAGAGGACTGGCTGTGATGCAGGATTTATACTTCTGTGTCAAATCGACGCCGTAGCCTGACGTGCACCTCCCCAGAAGCTGAAACCATTTCCCTCAGTGGAAACAAAGCTTTGATTTACTTTAATTTCACAGATAAGAAACAATAAATTGTGAAGACAATAAAGCCTCCACACACTGTGTGTGATTTATCCTGGCTTCATATGAGCAGAGGAAAACTCTGCTAGCTGCTAGGCTAATTTATACAATGTAAAATGCCATAGGCTTGTGCTAATAACGTTAGCATGTATTGAAAATGTGTCCAGATAAAGACAAGTGTTTGTCTGTGAATGCTGCGAGTTATAGTGAAGCTGATTTGTGTTTGAAACTGTCTCTATTAAGCCATGTTTAATGTGTGTTTAATGTGTGTTTAATGTGTGTTTTGAATCAACTAAACTACAGCACTTCACAGAAACCCTGACACCAACTAGTGTTTTGGAGGTGTAACTGCAGAGTGACACAGACACACCACTGCACAGGTATAAATGCTCACAGCGGCGTAGGCTGCACTGTAGGCTCTGCATAGAGTTGACACACACAAGTATAAATCCTGCTTAATGCCTTGACCTGGGTGCACGTAAACACACTGAATCACCTGAGCTGACTCCTGTAAGTCTCTTTGTTTGGGCACCATATTAAAAGATAAGGCAACAAATCATATTTTACAAATATCTTCAAGTATTTTTCATCACTGAGAGCATAATTAAAGGCTGAGAGGGACACACGACGTCACCAGTATGTAATCAGTGTTAGTACTCATGGTGAGAAGCGCGTAGGCTGCGTAGATGTGTTTGTGATGCAGATGTTGGAGGCAGAAACTCTGAATTGATGTCACTCTGGTCACAGGTGAAGCCTCTTACCCAGACTCACCTCATTAAAGCTCTGCATTGTGTTTTATGGTGACAAACATCTTGTTTTTGTACCATCGTCACAGTTTGTCAGCCTCTCTCCACATTAAGTGAAACTATTCGTTCCCACTGTCCTCTGTGTCCTCGTCTCCATCTTCATTCTGTCCGTCTCTGTCTCCCTCTGGGTAGTTGAGGATGTGTCGACTGGCCTGAATGATACACTGCTGGTGTTTGAAATACACCTTCAACGCTCCCTTGATCAACACAAACGCGATGCCGCCCTGTGGAGACAGACGAGGACAGAGAGGCGTCAGCTGGGCAACATTTAAAGGTCGGGTTCTTCTCCAGGTTTTTTTAAATGGTAATGCCCACTTAGCCAAAAAACAGCAGTGACAGTTTAGAGCTCTGATGATGATAATGACAATTATAATAATAATAACAACAATAATAATAATAATAATAATAATAATAATAATAATAATAACTAAAAGGGATAGTATGGATTTTTTTGAAGTAGGGCTGTATCTCGTCCTCTGCTCAGAGGGTAAGGAGCTCCCAGACCTTGTTGTTTTCAAAATTAGTTTCATTTTTCAACATTTACAGCTGATGTTCTTCTTCTTTGAGTTAGCCGCTAATTGCTAACAGCTATTTTTTAAATGTCCCGCGGTGGGTTGCACATAATAACACCTCATCAAACGTCACACCCTTGGCACCTATGACCCCATCCCTCAATCTGTCCTGTTTATGCACACATCATTTCCACGCCGTTGTTACCTCCCATGGTGGATTAAAGGCGAGACAACTCTGTCTCCCAATGCCACGATCAGCATAACGGTGTGATATTCCTGCCTTGAACAGGCGGTGTAAAAGAGGCTAGTGTAATATTGTCACTGCTTTACCTTATTGTCAGACAGCTCTTTCAGTTGGGGAACTAAAGCAATTATATCGCTCTCTTCATAACCATCAGACTCCACTGACATATATACCCTTTTAGGGTCAACGTCACGGTGACATCATGTTATCAGCTGGAGGTGCAGCTGCCTCTCCCCCACAGGGCTGTAGGCTCCATAGGAGTGTTAAAATGTGTTTGTCTTGTTGTGTTATTGGGAGCCAGAATAGAAGGAGTCATGGCTCAAAACCAGCCGCCACTGCCCGTCAACAAAAACAAAGACAACTATGGTTAAATGTGATAAGACCAAAGGACTGGACGGAGGCCATCATCAAAAATGCTCACATGTGCAGCGCACACTTCATATCAGGTTAGGGAAAAAGTATTTCCTGTTGTAGGGATGAATAAGGTTATGTGTATTAAGGGTTATCATGTCCACCTCATCAGAAACTGGGGAGGGATTAAGAGGAATATTGGAGTTCTCTGCAACGCTAACTTTTTAGCACATTAGCTAACGTTAGCTTCCATAGCAAAACAAACAAGTGTGGTCCTCCTTTGTAAGATTGGCTTCCTGTGACATCATCCATCCACTGAGTGAGAGCATACGGGTCGGCCAGTCTGGTCCCGTTGGTCAGTGTTTACTTATTCTAGTAACACTGGCGGTCCCGGAGAGTGAGTGACCTGACATGGTGCGTTGGTAAATTCAGTCTGACGCTCTATACTAAAATGAGAGCCTCAAGTTAAGCCCCGCCCACCAAAAAACTTTTCAGATCTAAAGTAACATGGTGGCTACAGCTGCACATTGTGGGTTAGTGGGTTAGAGAAATATAGCTAATGTGGAAGATTGACAACACACGACTGAGTCACAAAGAGGCACACTGGGCGGGTTGGGGAGGTTTATACATAGCAGTGTCACCATGTAGAAACCTACGTCAGGTCATGTGAGAAAACATTTCTGGAAAGGCCTGGGAAATTAACATTTAGACGCTAAAATATACTTTAGTATCTGAGTGTTTGGATTTCAATGTAAAAGGAACACTGCTGGGGAGCAACAGACTGATATAAAAACTTCAGAGAAAAAACACAATTTAAACCAAACAATAATGAAACTAAGTGACGTCTGGTCTACATAAAAGACTCTCCATATATTCTTAAATAAACATGAGGTGTATATTCACCAGCACAGTGCGCTGAAGGTCAGAGGGCATCCGTCTGAACAGCAGCCGTCCCATCAGACTGGCGATGGAGGGAAAGATGAGCGCTCCGCACAGAGTCCTGGACACAGACAGGTGATCTCCTGCTCCCAGCCCGTCAGCAGGGACTCTGGGCAGGTAACGGCTGCCACCTGTCGTAACACAGATTCAGTTCAACAGCTTCCATGATATCAACCAACCGTGTGTGTGTGTGTGTGTGTACCTGGCTGGAGCTTCCCCCTGCAGGAGTACCTCTGCCACAGCCTCACTATATAATCCTCCCAGCGGATCATCTTGCCCAGCACCAGCACCACGGGGATGGTGGGCAGCCCCATCAGCAGGAAGAGCGGGTCAGCTCGCTCCATCACGTTCAGACCCTTCTTATGTCCCACCACCTGCACGCACACACGATGACAGAGGTGAGGACACCTGAACGCTCTCTGGTCTTTATACTCTCTCTGTGCGGTGTGTCGTTATCCGACCTGCATGACGGTCACGGCTCCGTATGTGACGGCTGACCAGTACACGGTCCCCACCACCACCCCGACGGCGGCGAAGGGGCTCGCCCGGGACAGAGCTCTGTCCACCTGCTGGAGGAAATACACCAACGGGCCTGAGGAGAGGCAGCAACACACACACTGAGAGGACAAAGACTCTGACTCAAACCAACAGTGTGTGTGTGTGTGTCTACATCCTGATTTACACACTTAATCACCACAAACACACACACACACCTGGGCTGCACGACTGGGTCCATGATGTTAATCACAATTATTCTGATCAGTACTGAGCTCATGATTATTGATTGTTAATATCTGTATTGCAGTGTCACATCTAAATAAACAGAGCTCTGCTTTCACGTCCATGTTGTGCGGTGGCTGTGATCAAAGAGCAGAAGACAAAGTGTAATTTCATCACAGAAAGAAGACGTTCTTTAGGAACTCTTAAGGTTCAGATGTTGTCCAAAAACGTGTCCACATAGGTGTGTCTATGCACGGATATGTTGCGACACATTCGTCAGTGTGAACGTGGATATTAAAAGCTTTTATTATCATTTTATTTGACCTCTTCAGGAGCTTTTTCACTCTGTCCACCTTGATGAAGATTGTACAGAGTTAAACATGTCTGAGTACATAAAGACGTCTAATATATCTTTTCAATTAGAGGTCAGTCAACGTTTCTTTTTTCTGTGAGCCGTCGTTCATGTCTCACCCATCTTGGGGAAGGTGATGTGGTATTCAGTGCCACACTGCGGGCAGCTGACAGCTCCCTCACTGTTTCCTTTCTGCTTCTCGTCCAGCCAGCGCTGCAGACATGACTGGTGGATCCATTTAGTGCAGCCTTTACATCTGCAGGGGCTCACCCACTCTGCACTGTGGTCGTCCCTCTCAGTGGCAAAACACACCCAGCAGTGTCTGGACACACACACACACACACACACACACACACACACACACACACACACAGTGTTACTGTCAATAAAGATCTCTGATTATGTCGTTAAAATTATGAAACTTCACCAACACTCTGGGCCTCGTGCAAAAACCACTTGTGAAGAGCAGGTTTGTTCTTAAGTGTCACCAATTTTCTTGTATTTCGAATTTCTTCTTTGGTATGATGAATGAAATTCACAAATGTTCCAGACCTGCTCTGTCTCCACAAACTGACTTATGAATTATAATGTCTTTTTCATTAAAAAAACTCATGGCAGAATTAGGATGAAGAAGATATACTTTATTAATCCCTGAAAGTAAATTATCTTTTTCACTCTGTTGTCATAGACACACAGGCCCAAAATACACACACGTGCACAAATAGGACATGCATTACATAGGGAGGTGTCAGAGTGAGGGGGCGCCCTGAGCAGTTAGAGGTTCTGTGCCTCACCCACCTCCGCAGTGCCCAAGAGGTGGACTGGCACCTCTCCAGCTGCCAGTCCACACTATTCGCTTGGTCCATACGCGGACTTGAGTTTCTAAGCCAAGCCCCTATGGACTGAGTTACTGCCACCCCAACGAGTAATCAGATGGTTCAATATGCCTGACATGACGTGCACTCAGGAGACATGGTCTTACTTCTCAGGCTGTTCCTCAGCGAGGGCCATGGTACTGAACGGGCTCTGCTCTCCTGGATGTTATCATGAACCCATCAGACTGCAGACAGGACCTACGACAGACACACTCATTAACTCTCACACACACACACAAAGTTTACACTTGCCAGAATACGTTTAGTCAAGTACTGTGTGTCCACCTGGTCGAATATTCTGTCCAGGACATTAATTTGACAGCTTCAGATTATTAATACAAAATATAAATCAGTTAATAGATTATGACGCATGTTTATGCTTCAAGCTTCCTGCAGCACAAAGAGAAGTTGAAACGACCATATAAAGCTGCAACATTAGTGATGTTGACATATTAAAGGACTAATAATTATAAAACAATAATATTATTCTGAAACGTGTGATTCTGCATCAATGAGTACTTTTACTTTGGGTACTTAAAGTAACTGATGCGATTTGTTCTTTCACTTCAGTAAGGAACTGTTTGCTGCAAAAAGGGAAGACATGTCAAGTACTTTTTCAAGCACCGGGGAGGGACATATGTTTTCTGTTTAGGCATACATAAATAAAGAACAGTCCTTGAGTAGTAACCAAGGATTATTACACTGTGGGAGTTACCACGTTTACTTAAACAGTAACAGCACAATACACAAGTACTTCCTCCACCACTGACTACTGGTTACTTTGAAGACATTAATTAGAAATGTAAAATATTTGATCAGATAATAAACGATGATTCACAGCTGCAGAAACCCGACAGGATTTAAAGTGATTAAATATTAGCTCCTGTTACTGCAAAGATCACAGTGCTTTGTCCAACACTTGACTTTGTCTGAGCCCAGTGAGGACACACACCATCCTGAACGTGAAACCACCATGTTGAGACTAATTTTGTCCCCAGCCAAATTCCAGTCCAAAGTTTGTGCCCAAATGTGACCTGTGACACAGCAGACACCACAAACTGAAACCAACACTACAAATATTCCTGACAAATAACTCAGCTACGAATGTAACTTAAATAAAACTATCATGTCCACTCAGCTAAAGTCTCCGTGTCTCCATTTAACTGACTTCATGTCGTTTGGTCTTTTAACAAATCTCTCTAACTCTCATGCTAATGCTAACAGGAGTGAACTTTAGCTCAGAGCTTTCACATTAAGCTAGTAACCGATAACTAGGTTAAGTTAACCTTTAGTATATCTGTCAGTTTGTTAAACAGCTGTGTGATATTAATATTCAAACACGACCTACCTGATAAACAGCAATAAATCCAGATAATATGATGTTTCAGCTGTTTAAACCGTATTTACGTGCTGTATTTTAATCATGAATTTATGCTAACTCTACAGCAGGCTAGCTACAGTGTTAGCAGCGCTCTGATTGGTCAGCGGCTGTGACGGTGCTTGCTGTATTCAGCGCGTGTAGGAAACTACGACATTCAACTTCCGGTTGATAACACCATATTAAATAAATCTTTTGAAGACAAAAACTGTGTTTCAGTATTTCAGTATTATTATTGTGAAACACGTGGATTTTACTTTAATATGTCCTCATTACTTTTTCATTTGTTTGTTTTTTGCAAATGTTTGTTTTTATTAACAAAATATGTGTCAGGTTTCCATTCGTGCATTTAAAAATATTATTTTAAAAAGAAAATTACAGAAATACTTATCCAAAAACAAAAGAAAAGAGGCAAAAAACAAAGAAAAAATAAATTAAATATAAATATAAATACTCCTTATATATATATATTTACAGAGAGGATGTACTAAAACTAAATCTAAGGGACATTTTGACGTACAATATAAAAGTTGATGGTTATACCGTGTACATTTGCTCATCTATGATATTGGAGAAAAAAAAATAAACTGAACGGTGACTCTCCCCTTTATTTTAGTTATTTCCTAAGGGGAGACTTTTTACACAAAGTTCCATTAACAACATGGTTTCAAGTTTTAATTATAGTAATAAAACCAAAAATAACCTTTCTGTTTTAATTCCTTTCAGGGTCATTCAGACTGGTAATAAGATCAATTCTGTAATACAGGGAAACAGCAGGGAAGTCTCATACCATTGCAGCCCTACAGTCAAAAAGGCTCGTCATATGGTATTTAAATACAGGTTACAATATGACAGTAACTGAAGGATACAAACAAAATAAAAAACTAGATATAAATGGTCATTCAGGAATTAAGGTAACAGATATTCATTCGGATGTTTAGAATAATTAAATTATGGCTACACATGTTGACAGATAAAGGCCTGTCTCAAATAGAGGCCTGGTCTGGTTGCCAAGCAGTTTATTTCTTTAATAGAAGTTCTTTGGATGGATAAAAGCAGGTTGATGGCTGCCTCAGATTATGTGTCCATTCCTTGATTACCCTGTAAATGATCCAGTCTGTAAAGTCCTCAGATTAAAAGAATCAAAAGGGTTTTTCATAAAAATTAATCCAAGTTGTGAGTTTTGTTTTAACAGGATAACGTGGTGTTGTGTCTGTGTGTCAAGTGTCGTAACTCACTCTCTCTGTCATGCTCTGTCTGTCAGAGTTAGATCAAATGAATGATTCTTAATTGATATGCTATCTGAAGCCTTATTTTTTATAAATTAAAAAATTCATACTGGTTTAAATAAACAGTTTGATTGTATTTCCTGATCTTTGCTGAGCAACAGTTTTGTGCAACAGGAATTAAAGGCCTGTCCCAAATATAGGCCTATTGATTACAGTGATTTAAGCAAACAAAAGCCGGGGCTATTTGTAAACTAGCAACTCTTCAGTAACTCAGCTTCAGCTGGGGACAAATCATACGTCACATCTCACCCCAGTTCTCACCTCCCTCCACTGGTTGTCAGTTAACTTTAGAACTGATTTTAAGATTGTTTTGATAACCTTTAAAGCTCAACATAGTTTAGCACCAAGTTATATAGCTGAGCTCCTGACTACCTGTGCTCCAAGTCCCAAGTCGTGACCTGAGATCCTCAGGCCTGCCCTCACCAGTCGTCCCTAGATCAATGCTGATGGTTTTGCCGTCACAGCTCAGAGGCTCTGGAAGTCTCTGCCTGAGGGGATCAGACTTGTGTTTAAATCACTGCTTAAAACATATTTCTATAGGAAAGATTTCGCTTTTCATAATATTAATAATAATAATAATAATAATAATATATTTTATTTGTAGTGCATTTTTCATCCTTGGATCTCAGAGTGCTGCAGTTTAAAAGCATAGTATAAAAACATATGAAAAAAACACTCTAATTAGCTCAAATCAACAGTCAAAGGTCTTTTTGAATCAAAAGGTTTTCAGGCCTGATTTAAAAGAGTCCAGGCTCTGTGCAGCCCTCAGCTGGAGAGGGGGCTGTTCCACAAATGTGGTGCGGCCGAGCAAAAGGCTCGGTCTCCCATGGTGCAGAGCTTGGTGCTGGGGACTCGGAGGAGTAGGCTGCCTGTAGATCTGAGGGTGCGGGTGGAGGATTGTGGAGTGATTAGTTCTTGTAGGTAGAGAGGGTGCGTGTCCATTGATGCATTTGTGGGTGAGCAGCAGGATTTTGTAATTGATCCAAGATGAGACAGGGAGCCAGTGCAGTGAGTGCAGAATGGGGGTTATGTGCTCATGTTTACGGACTCTCATCAGGACCTTGGCAGCGTTGTTCTGAATGTACTGCAGCTTCTGGATGTTCTTGCCAGGAATCCCGATGAAGAGTCTGTTGCAGTAGTCCAGTCTCAAGGAGATAAAGGCATGGACTAACTTCTCTGCATCTGGGAGGGTTAAAGTGGGGCGGAGTCCGGAGATGTTGCGAAGATGGTAGAATGAGGTGTTTTATATGGTCATTGAAGGTAAGTTGGGATATGGGTGAAGACTGAACCTGGTGTGGGGTGCCAATGAGAAGTGCCTCTGTTTTATTGCTGTTCAGTTGGAGAAAGTTATTGTTCATCCATGCCTTTATCTCCTTGAGACAGGTGGTGAGGGATGACAGGGCTGCAGAGGGGTTTGGGGCAGTTTTGATGTAGAGTTGTGTGTCATCAGCATAGCAATGGACAGACATCCCATGTCTGCTGATGACACGACCGAGGGAGAGCATGTAAGTAGGCCCGTTTCCACCGCAGGAACTTCGGGGTAATTTTACGGGGCCTGGGCCGTTGGTGCGTGTCTCCACCACAGGAACCACCCTCGAAGGACAGAGTTGGGGTTTACTTGGTGCTGATTGGATATACTCAAGGCGGGATGTGACGTCAACAGAAAGCGACAAAATAGCCAGCATTTTTAAAACTCAGCAGATGAGGAGTCACATTTTTAAAAGGAGTCTGCTTCTTCTTCTTTGTTGTTGTTCTTCTTTGTTTGTTTCTTTGCCGCGTCGCCCCGGTCAAAATGGTCGCGCAACGATTACGTCACATCCAGAGCCCGGTAACTTTACAGGAACCTTCCTCCTACTCCACTCTCTCAGTGGAGACACGGCGGTTGAGAGGGCCGAGCGAGAGGACGTTCCTGTAAAGTTCCTGCCCCCCAAATAGTACCAGGAACTTCTTCAGTGGAAACGGGCCTTAAGTGATGAAAATGAAGGGGCCAAGAACTGACCCCTGCGGAACACCACAGACGACAGGGAGCATCCTGGACGTGCATCGTCCCAGTGTAACTTTTTTTGTTTTATTTCCTTTGTATTGTTTTTGTCTTATTTCTGTGAAGCACTTTGTGACATTGTTTAGATACGTGCTATACATATACACATTATTATATTGTTATTAATTGACGTTTGATGGTATATTATTAAATGGGACACTCTGCACAATCAGTACTTTTACTTTTGGTACTTTAAGTGTATTTTGATTCAGATATTTTTGTGCTTGTATTTATAAAGCTGAACCAGAGGAGCAGAATAAACCAGTGCAGTTAAACTGGGCCGTGTGCGTCACAAAGAGATGATGAGGTTTCCACAGGTCCGACAGAAAGATGCTGCTCCCTCCCGTTGACAGCTAGCAAGCCTGAAGCGCATGGCTCTTCGGGTGAGACGCTGTGATTGGTTACCCCTCCTGTCAGTCATGGTTCTGGTGAATCTGATTGGCTGGCCGTGCTGTCAGTCACGCCCCCGCCGCGGTGGTGTTGTTGTGGTGGCAGCAGGCGGTCCAGCCCCCGGCAGCAGCAGCAGCAGCAGTAGCGCAGAGGAGACGGAGTGACAGCGCCTTTCTCTGCTCTTTTACATGATTAAAACACTACACGGAGAGGAACACGCGCACGGATCGATAGAAACACATCTTTAACACACAGTCCGTCATGGAGTCCTATGACATTTTAGCTAACCAGCCCGTTGTGATTGATAATGTAAGTATGATGATGTCATTCATCCACACCCTAACCGAGGCCGCTGGCTGGGAGCGGCGGCTAACTGTTAGCTTCGTTAACTATTGTGCTATAGCTAACAGGTAAAGGTGGCTGGTCCCGGTCACATCTGCTCAGTGTGCTGCCGTTATTAACGGTGTCTGACGGTGTTTTACTTGCAGTGTTGTTACCTAGCATAATAGCGTGCCTTCATTTACCGGCCACACAGAAAGCGCTAGCTAAACCTGCAGCTAGCTTACCGGCTAGCTAAGCTCCGGTTTGCCAGCAGATCCTAAATGTTAGCTAAACGTGGTGCTACCGCTGTATCACTACACATTTTATTAATGGTAACATAGTTAGCATATGAGGCTGAGCTGTCTGCAGAGTCATCTACAGCTTAACCACTACCTGTGTGTCTGTAGCACCAACTGTAGGTTTGCATGACGGCTGTTAGCTTTGTATTCAAACAGCACGTCACCACAGATCACTGCTAATGATTTTATCAGAGATGGAAGAAGTATTCAGATCCTTTACTGCGGTTAAAGTGCTAATAACACCGTGAACATACTCCACTACATGTAACAGCCCTGTATTCATAACCTGACTTAAATATAAGTATGTAACGTTATGATGCAGGTTTTATTCTGTCTGATGTGTTTGTATTAATGTGTGTGTTGTATTTTACTGCTGTGGATGTGTTAAAGCTCCAGTGTGAAGGATCCAGGAGGACATAATGGCACAAAAAATATAATCAGTATGTTTTCATTAGTGTGTAATCACCTGGAAATAAGAATCATTGTGTTTTCGTTAGCTTAAAATGAGACGTTTATATCTACACAGGGAGCAGGTCCATGTCTCTACAGTAGCCCAGAGCAGACAAACCAAACTATCAGTATATTCACATGACATTAGAGAAAATGGATTTATTGTGTTAGTCTGACTGAAATCGTACTAAATTGAATTTCTCACAGTCTGATAATGTGACTGAGAGTCGAACTCCTCCTGCATGTATACAGTCAATCAGACCCAATCTGGCCGAGGCGCTCTGAGCATGCTCCACAGTTTCCGCCCC